AACGATACACAGATAACGTCGCCGTGATAAAGATTTCCGAACATAATATTTACTTAACTATATATAACACTACATCATACTTCTTACTAATATTTTAAATGTTTAGATGGATGGATGGATGGATGGATGGTTGAATTTTTTTAGAGTTTGTAGCCTAAACGGCTGAACGGATTTCGATGAAATATGGTATAGATGTAGAGGATAGCCTGGAAGAACACAGGCACTTTTGCTTTTTTTATTTTTACGGGAACGGAGTCGCGGGTGAAAGCTATAAGATATGAAACAGTAACATATAGTTTTCTTTTAAATATTTATATTCCAAACACGGTTTTCTCTGAATGTGTTTAATGTTATCCTTTCTGATAAAATAACGTCGGCAAGGAGAGGGTAAACTTTTATATATTCTTCCTTTATTGAATACGATTATGTGTTGAAAGTAAATATTATGTAGGAATATGACAAAATTGCTTGTATACTTAAGCCTAAAGTGTACAAAATGTTTAATATGTTGTATTAAAATTCACTAATACAAAACTTTATAAACGAAATATTCCAATGTTATTCCTATTTTAGAACTTTTAAAAAATTTACAAGAAATATGCAAATTATTTAATGTTAGCTGTTGCCCGCGATTTCGACATCGTAAAATTAAAAAAAAATATATAGCCTATGTTACTCACGGATAAGTTACCTTTGTAGCGGTGAAAGATTTTTTAAAATGGGCCCAGAAGTTTTTATGTTATTTCAATACATACTAAAGTGCAAATCCTTCTGTATAATATTATTATAGATATAGCTAGAACGATTTAATTCTAGCGATCTATCTAACTGTATCTATTTATAGCAGTTTTTCTATTAAGTCGTTAAATCTGGATTACTTCGATAGTTACATTTGAACCAAAATACAAAAGGGAAGCAATTACAAAGATAAGAGAGGCCAATTTGGGATCGACAAAAGTCACAATATGCTGACAATCAAGCTTAGCGCTTTTTGTTATACTTTTATTTAAAAATTGAGCTTTAAGCGTATTGTTCTAAATCCGAGTTATAATTCAAAACTACAATAGTTTATTTTTAACTTTTATATTTGCACTGTTCACGTTTAACATGTAAACCACTATAAAGTTCAAAAGAGAAAGATTTGAATAAATATGTAAATAACTTCTGTTTTCTTGCAGTTGAGTAAAAACTTTAATATTTGACTTTCAAATGTTATATTAGTCTTTCAACATTTCTTTAATGTTAGACGTTTTCTTAGACCACTTTTAAAATAGTGTAAAGAGGAATCTAGATTCTTGTGCAATGCGATTTCGATATTAAGAGGTTTCATTGACATTGGTGCACACCAGGTGCACACACTACTCGATTTTAAGTTATGCAACTAAACTAAATAAATAAAATAAACAATTGAATTGGCTGCAACACAATAGACAATCGCACAACAATTGTGCGATAGTTTAGTAAAAGGCTTGCGCCCGCTCTTTATACTACTGGGTAGTCCAGTAGAGCATAATGTTTTACCCAATAACTAAAATATAACAGAAGATGCATTATTAGGTATATTTTAGTTCTATTAAAAAGTATATTAATTTATTTATGAATGTATGCTTGCTATGTTGTAACACAATTGTTCTGAGATAAATATACATTGTGGTGAGAGAATTTGTCATACCATAATCACGTTCTGTCAAACGTAGTAACTTCGTAGCGTCTTGTTGGACTTAGCAAGTTGTGTGAAACTTACAAAGACGTGACTACTCGCGACAAATGTTCTTGAGAATAATAAGTGCACAAACTTTGTTTTGTGTAAATGTCAATTACGTTGGAAATGTCTTGATATTACGTAGGATGCGGGATGTCTATGGACAGTTGATTAGCATTGGACAAAATATAAAATTATGTGATTTATTTAACTATTTTAGGGTCATTAACAAACCATCTTAGAATAGAAGACAATAGTGACGTTTAGTGACTGTACTCGTAGACGGTTTTTTCCATGTGTCTATTTTAGTGGTACTGTGATTTTTTTTTTTCTTTTCATGTGACAACATTGTTTTTGAAAACATCTCATACTAAACATTCATGTTTATTGCATAGTAACGTTTAAAGTACTAGGACCCTTAATAAACATTGTAATGTAACCGCTACGAAACATTTAGGGGTTGAAGTGATATTGAATCTCAGTCGATAGCAAACATCCCGAGCTTGTTACGATCCTCAAATCAAATATTTACGTCGGATATAGGCGTCCCTTAGGAATGTGATACTCGTATTTAATGTTCGATTTTCTCGTGTGACGTGACAATGATTTGATGTCACGGTGTTGTAAAGTAAATTAAATCGATACGTATAATACTAGCTTTTGCCCGCGACTCCGTCCGCGTGTAATTAAAGAAAACAAAAGTGAGTAGCCTATGTGTTCTTCCAGACTATTGTCTACAACTATAAGAAATTTTATCGAAATCTGTTCAGCCGTTTAGGCTACAAACTCTATCAACCATCCATCCCTCTAATCTTTCGCATTTATAGTACTAGTAAGTAAGTATTAGTATGATTAGTACATTTAACATAATCAAGTTACGAGAACTTTTAGCTACATCGTTCAGTTATAGAAACCAAGAGTAGCCAATAATTAATAATCTACATGCTCGGTTTTAAGTTACACTAGATAAATTAAGGCCGTACGTCATTTATTGACATTATAACGGTGGTTGTATTTCACCGCAACCACGTTATTAACGGTAAAAGCTAATTTGAAATGAACCGTTGTTATACGAGTACATTAAATACTTTGTTTATGTTATGAATATTTAAAGCAAACATGACCAACCCATTAGGGATATTACGTAGTGAAAATTTTATATTAAAATGAACGTTTTAGTGTTATATTTTTACTAATGTTATAAATGCGAAAGTTTAGGTCGACGTTTGTTAGAGTTTGCAAAGGTTTTTTTTTTAATCTCACGCGGACAGAGTCGCGGGCGAAAGCTAATACTTACCAAAGATCATTTAAATTTCTTACTTACGTCAATTAATTAGTCGGTACCAGTAATATTTTGTTTTATAACTTAAGAAAAAATCAAATTTTATTTATCTTTACACTTCTTTTCAATTCACTAATGGCAGGTCACGCAAACAATAATTCCTTTCATAACGATATTTTGACGTCTAATCAATCCTCCACCCTTGACCTTTTTTTCATTTGCTATTGAAATTATTTTGTTGAATCAAAAGCGAAGCATTCATAAATATTAAAAAAAATCAGCGATAAAAAGTAATTTTAAATTCCTCTCACGTTTCAATTTTATAAATCTGAACTCTTCAGTCGACTTAAGTTTTAATTAGTTGCTAAAACTTTTCTAAGAAACAATTAACCGTTAGTTTTAGAATTTATTTGATAAACAAAATTAAAATTGACATTTGGTTATAAAGGCGTTAACAGGCTAAAGAAGTTCGGATAAGTTTGTCGCAAAAGTTCTTGTTAATAAATGTCACAGCTTAAGTCTTGTTATAGATTTTCTACAGCAGCAGCAATAAACAAGTGAGATAATAGTTTTAAAGTATAAAAATCATCAATCTTGCTTCTTACTTATCTTACTAGTCTTACTTCTTCCTAATATTATAAATACAAAAGTTTTGATAGATGGGTGGTTTTTTTTGGGGTTTGTAGTTTAAATGGCTGAACAGATTTCGATGAAATTTGGCATAGATGTAGAGGATAGTCTGAAAGAACACATAGGCTACTTATTTTTGATTTTTTTTTAATTTCACGTTGACGGACGCGGGCGATAGCTAGTTAACCGTAAAAGTAACCGGGGTTTAAGAGCGACGCATAAGTCAAGAAATGCTTGCAGCTTCTGAATTATCACTTGTCAGGTGAGAATTTTGATGATTATTCTTAACTTCAGATTCGTGGAACAATGTTAGGGGTTACTACAATTATATTGCACGAGTTTGTGTTATAAATTTAATAGGAAATTTATCATCTTTCGATTCTTTTCAAATGAACTATATATATAAATATTGGTGTATAAGCGTGGATGGTTCTTAACTTGAGCCGCAAATTATACTTTACGATGTTTATTACAAGTAATTTATTGATATACTAGCTTTCGTCCGCGACTCTTCCGTGTGGAAGTAGAAAAAAAAACATACAGACGAATTGAGTACCTCCTTTTTTAGGGAAGTAGGTCAAAAAACAAAAATTGTTGCCTATTTGTGTTCTTCGAGACTATATTCTACATCTATGCCAAATTAAATCGAGATCCATTCAACCGCTTAGGCTACAAACTATAACATCCATCCATCTATCTAAACTTTCGCATTTATAATATTAGTGAGATAGTAAGATTATTACTTGAGATAATGTTTAAACGTAACTTAATTTAGTTGCTTTTGTAATTTGCCTCTGAAAATTTGCTTTATCAGGATATACGTTTGTATTAGAAATAAAACAACATTGTTTAGCCAATTTGGCATTACACAGTTTATTTTTGCTTCATACTTATTAAAATCATATCTACTACGTACAATATATAGAATGTAATGATATATGTAAGATATTGGTTATATATTTTAACATTGATAAGTTTTTTAATTCCAAAATCGTATTTGAATTATATTCAATTTAAAAAGCTACAGCATTTGTATATTAAAAGGTAATAGTTGTTTTAGTAAATATAAATATGTATTACGTACATGTAAAACAAAAGTATAAACTATATTTAAAATAGCAATTGAAGCTGTAAAAATACTTAAAACTTCCATCAATAGATTTTACAAAAATATTAAGGGTCTATCCTATTTGGAAAATATGAAATATTTACATGAAACTCTAAAATAAATATATTTCAATATTTTCTTAGTAAACATACATCATAAAATATTTTAAACTGCAAGCAAATCGAACAGGTTATTTTGATAGTATATTGATATTTAAAAGTGCTTGTATAACTTGGATTGGTAAAGATAACTTTAAACTTGACATATATGAAGGATGTCGTACATTTAATATATTAAATATAGTTGTATATTATACGTAAGTTTGGCATAAGTCGACGGGTTTAGTTTGTCAATGGATGCCAATGCTTCACTTGTTCCATTGGACTGGCTAGTGCTGAGTTCCAATGCTGAAGCGCACGCCCTCTTGCGAACATATACGAGCCTAATACAAACTTCCCTAGTAATCGATCTGAAAAAAATACATAAACCTTTATATCCAATATCTTCTTTAGAAATTGAGTGTAATAATTTTGTTATGTTTATTTCCAATTTGAAAAACAAAAGTTGTAACTACCTTTAGCGTACACCGAATGCGGTTGTAGGGCTTGTATGGTAACGCATGTCGTGTGCAACTCGTCGGCGCTCAGTCTAAAGTGAAAGCATTCGGTGATAAGTGCAGCGCCCTCTTCCGACACCTCGACGGCAGCTGTTCGGCGCGCGCGCACCCCACGGCAAGCCCTCTCTTGGGTTACTCGAGCCACTACCTCACGTCGTGATGATGATGGGTCCAGCTAAACAAGAGTATTACAGTCAATATCTTACGGATATACGGATAATAAAAACATAAATGACCTCACACTGCGAAATGGATCATACAGGTTAATTTACAATTCAACATACAAATATATTAAACTGTCGTTTACTTGCGACTTCATCCGCGTGTAAATTAAAAAATAATAAAAAATATGGCCTATGTTATTAACTAATGACGTAGCTTTTTAATGGTGATAGAATTTTTGAAATCGGCCAAGTTGTTTTAGAGCTATAATATCAGAGTAGAAGTAAAGATATAATAGGTAACTACATAAATGTAAAATTGTTTTCTTGTATAACATAATATTGTAGTGTAAAATCAAAAATACCTTTAACCCCCGAGCTTCAATTACAGTAACGGAGAGCCGGTTTAAGTTTTCATTGTAAACCAAGGACACTAACATCTCGCCCAAATCTGAAGTGGGTTCTTGTAGTTCCTACAAACAATTGTACAAAAACAAATTTACTAACTCATAGAAGAAAACTAGTATAATTAGAAGACAATAATCTGATATCCTACATCCAACATTAATATCAACATAGATAATTATCGTTCTCGAACTAAAGCAAACGTCGCGTCACCTTGATATATCTCACTTTGTAGTGGCTTTTATAATGTTATTCCGATGTTAAACGATGCGAATCAAACTAGGTCAGTTCGCACAGATGGTAGCAACCCGCTAGCTATTCTAGTTCTCCTGACAGATCAACTATAAAGCCAATGTACATATTTTTGTAAGGCAATCTTTAGAGCGTGACTTGAATAAAATATGTTGCTGAAAATAGTACTGAATTTATTATTTTTTCTAATTAATAAAAATTAATAAAAAATGCTTATAAAATGTAAATTACCTAAAACCTACCTGCTAGTTAGATTTGATTAAGAATTAAACATTAACATTGTAATCCATATAATAGAGAAAATTGAAGATACATCGTGTTATAAATATCAAACTTTTTATTTTAACGCTCACGATAAATTAAATATAAATTAATTGGATTTTAATTGATATGTTAGAAAAGTTTTTTTTTAAGAGTTCTATTTAAAGGAAATATTTAAATATTAACCTTTTCGATATCCAGTTTGTATAATTGCGGTTCTTCGTCAGACGCAACACCCTCTAGTTCGCTGAGCGGTAATATGATGTGGCCGATAAGCTGCTTGAATTTTCCGATACGGCCCGCATCCAGCACTGATAACTTGAGAGTGAGGGAATCCAGTTTCCCTGGTGGTATCTACGTATATTAAAATGGGTTTTAGTATTCCACATTTATATCGAGATGTTGTCAGAAATTAATTACAGTTTTAAAAAATTGTGTAATGTGATTATTCAGTTTAAGACTTAAATTCGGGGATTTTAAAAAGAGGTGCATTTTTATTACACTTTCTGTTAACTTTATAGCTTACTTTTTTTTACAAATCGTTTATAATTATCTATATTGTTGATGAAGATAAAAAACTTAACTCACATGATAAATAAAAGTTTCGTCGAAGAATGGATTGCATGACTTTTTCTTTTGTTTAGTCTGAAGCACACGCCTTTCATCTGGCATCAGTTGTATCCTACAAATATATATTGTTAAAATTAGGTTATGTTTTGTAAATCAACAAATGGCAAAGTTTTAAATTACGTTTTAAAATTGACATTTAATATTAAGCCTTCAATTTTAAGCAAAAAGTGTTGACCTTTTAAAAATGATACGATTCAATTAGTTAGTTGAATGATTTAATTTTTTTATGCAACAAAATGCCTTTGAGTTAATACAGAAGTTAAATTCGAGTCAAAGCAAAACTCGCAATAATTTATGCCAATTAAATCCATTAAACTACGTAATGCATGTGATATTACAACAATATTGCCATCCCTTTCGTTTTCCTTGATAAAACAGAGATAGTATCACATCATTTGAAATTCACGGTTACTTACTTGATGTAAGGGTCGCATGCGTTGGCCAATGCCGGGGTGCGCGATGGCAAGTGTTTCACCTTGATTATGTGCACTTGAAACCTTTCGGTAGCTGACTCGTATTTCACGGTAAACCATACACGACCCTGTTTAAAAAACTCATGATTAAATTTATTTTTCTAATGTTACGTAATTAACGATTACATTATAAATCTAGTGTGAAGAGGAAAGCTTGTTAGAAACAAGAAAAAAGGGGTAATATTGTTGATGACGCTAGAATTTTTATTCACCACATGTCCCTCGGGCCACATATGATCAACGTCGAGACAGTCCGACTTGTACAGCGATGGGTCGAGTACGCCCAAATCCGTTGTATTCGCTGGAACAAAAAACTTATGAAAATTATCAATCTTTCATACACAACTGTCGATATATTTATACTGTATTTGATGTTTGTAAAGTCGTCTGGAGTCGCTATTCCCGAATAGAGTATTTAATTGTAGATTTAACACACTTAGAGAGAGTTTAAGTAACTAATAATAAATCATTGAGTGCAGCAGTTATACCTTATATCGGATTTCCGAGATATTTGAACTAAATGTGTCCTAAAATGATCATTACGACCATAGAATAAATATTTACATGGGTTTTGTTAGACATTAATAGCATATGTGGATTATAATCATACTAATATTTTAAATGGGAAACTTTAGATGGATGGATGGATGGGTGTTTGTTGGAGTTTGTAGCCTAAACGGCTGAACGGATTTCCATGAAAATTGCTTTTGTTTTTTTTTAATTCTACGCGGACGGAGACTCGGGCGAAAGCTAGTATCAAATACTGATATTACAAAGGTAGTAGACGCGACAACAAAAAACAGGCGCGGCGGTCATCAAACCGGTGGTACTTAGTTTAATGTTGAAAATTGCCTATTCACTTAGGACTTGTTATTTTAATTCATATATACTTAAAAAAAATAGCAACGTCAATGGCCTTGATTGAACCCTTCCGTGATTAAGCCATTAGGCATAGGCTTAGCCATAGGCACTTTAATACACACGGACAAACTAGGAGCGCCTTTCGTGTAAGAAATAACTTAAGCTCAAAGGATCTATAAAAATTAATGACCGTACTGAAGCTAGTTTCATATACCTAAGTAAATTTAATGCAATATGAACTCGTCTAATCTTTTTTGTTAATTAATCTTTTATTAGACTTCGGTGATATTTTGAAATTCATTCATCTAAGTCTTATAGTTAAACAGTCTCGTAATTAACATTTATCATGTTAAAACTGCACTGAGTGACTCCCTAAGGATTAATTTACTACTTTGCAACAGTTATGACCGAATCCTCAAACGAACCTTTCCGTTTTCGCTTTTTTAGACGTCAAAAATCTAAGCGGGGACCTATAGTATATTCTGTTAGATATTTCCATTCTATTTCAGTATTCTCTCGTTAGACAAACAAGTGACTACAAAATATACAAACAGTAACATGCAGACCTTTGAAACAAATGAAATGTTATTTGAATAGGACAAAATTTCAATATGTGTCAACAAACAGGTTGAATGTTACCTAACCTATAACAAACGGAATTCTATTCGTTATTCATTAACAGAATTCATTACGTATGTACATAATAAATATCATTTGATAGATTACATTTGACATAACACGCGTCGCATAGCCTAATACGTACAGGAAACATTTGTTTAAATAACTCCCACAGGAATGTAAGAACCAAAGGTCATGATACTGGGGAATGCCGTTTGTAATTCTTAAAATAAATTTAAAAGTTGAACTCAAATGGAAAACTGTCTGGCTATTAATTAACATCGTTGAAATGCAACAGAATGTATTATAAAAAAATCATTTTAGAATTTTGAAATACAGCTATAAAGTTTGTTGTACAAACGAATATAATTTCAATCTATACGAACTGAGGCTATACAAATGCATACCCTTATTAAATATTTAATAACTTTGTACACAGACAATATTATAAATAGTCATATTATATTAGTTTTAATACAAAAACCTCTTGCGTCGACCTTACCGCAGTAAGATAAGAAGGGTGATGATGATAAACTTTGTACACAATCCAAATCTGTAAACTATATTGAAAAGTCAAATAAAAGTTGCGTGTAGTCAGATTTACTTCTTCACTAGATGTGGCTAGTTCAAGAATAAAATCCAATGAAATAGGATAATAAAATCTGTAGCTTACGACAAATCTGCTACAATAACTTACTGAAAGAATTCGATCGGAACTGCGTGGGCGTGGGCGGGCAGAGCACGTCACCCGGCAGGCCGCTGACGTCACGTAACTCTCCCAAAGATGTCGAACGCAGGGAGGGCAGCGAAAAGTTTATCTCCTTCGTCCTAAGAATTATTAGTATTGTCTCTTAGATTTTTGTTCCTTCTTCGAGTAAAGCCGAAAGATAAACAGGCCTTTCTGTTTCTAAGATTATGCAAACATTGTTTTAACATTTGCATAACTTTTTAGTTAAAATTGTTAGGCTTATTCATTTTCGTTACTGTTTTCCCTCATCACTATTTAACATGCATAAAACTACGTAATTCTTGTAGATGTTCCATACATATAGACTTAAATCTATAGCATTGTTGATGATTAAAAAACTCACAAAGGAAATAGTTTTTATGAGTGAAGACACTTAATTTAAAATTAAATCTATATTGAAACTGATTATGAAAAATTAAATAGATTTTCAACAGCTATTAGGTATAGGTTCATGTGAGTCCGTATACGCGTTACGTCAATTTGTCTATTCTATCGACGAGCTATAAACTCTGTTTCCCCCGAAAGGGCAAACCTAATGAAATTACCCGCTACCTTTAAAGACTTGGTATGACGTCCGAAAACGCATCAGCGTAGGTATCATACTACAAAGTGATTTCGCATTTATAACTCGCCTACGGCATTTTGATTTCGACGTGTGGGTTCACAGATTTCAAATGCAATAACGAGGCAAAGTTTTTTATTTATGTACGAATGATTGGGTGCTCGTTTGTATAGGAATATAACAAAGTTTTTAAATTTTTACGACACAATGCACTCGACAAAAGGACACATAACTCTTAAGATAACCTGTTATACATGGTTTGCACCAAACCTTAAAATAATACCCTTAAAGAAAACAGTCGTATAGTAATTGAATACCCGTCTAGAAACATAAATAGCATCAACTAAATTAACACATATTGATCTAGCGTAACATCGATATAAAATTATGGCATTTGTTATGCTTACGTGTAACATGGGGCCGTTACGTCATGGGGTGGGTAGACCAGAATGGGGGGCGATGGCACGGGGGATGGGCTGTTCTTGCGACGACGGGCCACGAACACACCGGCCATGACTATTAAGAGAACTAACGCAGCGCTCGCTCCACCAAGAGCCACTAATACAGCCTCTGAAAAAAAAAACAATTTAAAAAATGTGTCCAAAGAGAATGTAAACTTTTTTGTCATTATATATTTAAATTAAAAATAAGAATCAATTGAGAGTTATATTCCATTAGATATTCAGTTGAACAAATCCTGTTTCATTTTAATTTTCATGTATGTTCTTGATTTATTTATTTCTTTGATATGAAATCTTAATCTCTAAATAAATGTTTGAATTAAACTAAAATAATAATGTTGTTGTTTTAGTTATAACTATAATAGTAAACTAGTAGTCTTGTATTGTTTATTTATGTTCTACGTTCAACCCTTTGTTATCTTCACTAGACAAAGATATTCAAATTAACCATTTAACAATTGTTTACAAACTACGATACATTAATGTCTATTAAACAAGTAATTTAAGTTTATTTAACACTTAGTAATTACAATTTGAATACACTTTTGATTAGGTAATTGTTTATTTCGGAATATGAACATGATAAATCACTTTCCACAACTTTCAATAATATTTTAACGACATAATATAACTTTGCCTAATTACTATTGTTACAACCAGCCCGTTAAATTAAGAGCCTTTAACATATGTTATGAGTGTGTTATGATAATGTAATATGGCGCCATTAACACTTTTATAACCCTCATTAATGTTGCTGAGTCTAGGAAAATAAATGTAACATAAAACACGATACATGAATCACGCTGTAAAAATATTTTTAATAGTGATACAACAATCTTGATGATGTTCTTACTTTTATTTAAAAGGAGCTGTTCTCATGCGGCTTATTATTGCGGCTTAAAATTTTATTTTATTGTTTACATTTGTCAAATTATCAATAGCAAATGTCAAAATGACATGACACGACAAACCTTGGTAATCTTGCTCCCTTGATGTTGGCAGCAACTTACGGTCTATTTCTCACATTAGGGTTTTTATCCAATATTTACCCCTTAAGTTTAATGGCGTGAAAATATATAGCCTAAAGCGTGACGTAAGTGTAGGGCTTTTTATTAAAAAAAATAGTTATTCAAAAATATGCTAAAATTGCTGACATCTTAGGCAACAAAGAAGTGTGTGTTTACGCTTTATTATAATAGTACACACTGTAAATTGTTTTTACAACATAATAATCACAGATCAGTTTACAGGCAATATATATTTTTAAATTATTACTTAAGGATTTAGAGTAACTATTAACTTACCTCTCAAATTAATCGCATTAGCAATAGAGAACTCGGCTACAGAGCTAGCGGTAGGCGCTTGTTCGTATTTAGGCTGGGGCGCTTCCGTCTCCAACTGACTGAGGATGTCAATGTTTTGAGAGTTTATAGGCTCTTCATATTCTCTGTCGTAAAAGTCGACATTAGGAACCGCCTCGTCGGTATCGTAACCTGGGTCAAAATATTGCAAATGTACTTTTGTTTCGGTTTATGAAATTAACATTTATGGTGACTTATTTATGGTATAACAGCACCATAGACTGAAATCGACCCGGGTACGTCGTTAAACTGCGTCCAGACCACCGGAGGACGGGCAGCAGCGTCCCTTTCAAAAACGGTGGAGAAGTCTGCGATCGCCAACCCGCCTGCCAAGCGTGGCGATTATGGCAAATCCCCCCAAATGATGGCCACTAGAAAAGTACGGCCCCCAGTACCCGGCGGCCCCGCCGTTCCTGGTTACGGTAGCGGCCAGGGTAACGGCGGGGCAGGGGGTGCTAAGAATCCCCGGTTAGGATACGGCTACCACACACGACGACCTTTGGCCCTGGCAACACTGAACACGCGCACACTGCGGACGGACGAGAGGATCGCGGAGCTGGAAGAAGAATTGAGCAGGTTGCGTTGGGACATTATAGGGTTATCCGAAGTCCGAAGAGAGGGGGAGGAAACGATAATCCTCAAGTCCGGCAACTTGTTCTTCTTCCGGGAGGGCGACCAACAGTCGCAGGGTGGTGTCGGGTTTATCGTCCACAAGTCCCTCGTGAACAATGTGGTGAAGATCGAGAGTGTGTCGACGAGGGTTGCGTACCTGATACTCAGAATATCCAAACGGTATTCGCTGAAGGTTATACAGGTCTACGCACCGACCTCGACACACTCCGACGATGAGGTGGAAACTATGTATGAGGATATCTCACGAGCCATGCATAGTTCCAAAACCTTCTACACCGTTGTCATGGGGGACTTCAACGCGAAACTGGGCATTCGGGATGGAGACGAGCTACGAGTGGGAAAGTTTGGATATGGACGGCGGAACCACCGGGGACACTTGCTGGCCGGCTTTATGGAGAAGGAAGGACTCTACATGATGAACTCCTTCTTCAAGAAGCAAGGGCACAGGAAGTGGACCTGGATGAGTCCGGACGGTGCTACCAAAAATGAGATTGACTTCATCATGTCGACAAAGAAGCAAATATTCAATGATGTCTCAGTGATCAACGCGGTTAAAACCGGGAGCGATCACCGAATTGTCCGAGGCACATTGAATATCGACGTCAAGCTCGAACGATGTCGACTGATGGGGTCTACACTCCGGCCAGCGCCCGTGCATATCCACAATGCCGAAACCTTTCAGCTCGAACTCCGAAACCAGTTTGAATGCCTGGGAAGTAGCGTGGACGATCTGAATGACGGGTTCGTGCATGCTTTGCAGTCGGTGGGTTCTAAGTTCTACAAGACCCACCGTAAAAGCTCGCCCAAGAAACTCTCAGACCAAACTCTCGGACTCATGAAGGAAAGGCGAGACATGAAACTACACTCTTCAGATGATGCTGAACGGTATCGACGGCTAAATAGACAGATCTCCACGAGCATAAAGCGCGACATACGCCGATTTAATACCAATCGGGTAAAATTGGCTATCGAGCGAAATCAGGGCTCCAAAGTGTTTTCGCGGGATCTGTCTATTGGGCAAAGTCAACTGTTGAAGCTGAAGACTGGAGAGGGTAGAGTTGTGTCCTCCAGACCTGAACTCTTGAGTGAGGTTGAGAAGTTCTATGGGCAGCTCTACGCAACGCAGGAACCTGTCACAGATCTGGTCGAAGATCCCAGAGCCAGATTAACCCGACATTACACCGAGGACATCCCGGACGTCAGTCTCGACGAGATTAGTATGGCCCTGAAACAACTTAAAAACAACAAGGCGCCGGGGAATGACGGAATCACCGCAGAGCTATTGAGGGCAGCTGGAGAGCCGGCACTGAAGGTTCTTCAGAAGCTCTTTAATTCCGTCATTCTCGAGGGACATACGCCAAAGGCATGGAGCAGAAGTGTGGTGGTACTGTTCTTCAAAAAGGGCGATAAAGCCCTCCTGAAGAACTACAGGCCCATCTCACTTCTGAGCCATGTCTACAAGTTGTTCTCAAGGGTCATCACGAACCGTCTCGCTCGCAGATTCGACGACTTCCAGCCTCCCGAACAAGCCGGTTTCCGTAAAGGCTTCAGTACCGTAGACCACATACATACGCTGCGGCAGGTAATACAGAAGACCGAGGAGAATAACCTGCCACTATGCTTAGCGTTTGTGGACTACGAGAAAGCCTTCGATTCGGTCGAAACCTGGGCGGCACTGCAGTCACTCCAGAGGTGCCGAATTGACTACCGGTACATCGAAGCGCTAAGGTGCTTGTACGAAAACGCCACCATGTCAGTCCGAGTACAGAGTGAGGACACAAAACCAATCCATCTGCAGCGCGGTGTAAGACAGGGTGATGTCATCTCCCCGAAACTCTTCACCGCGGCGTTGGAAGACGTTTTCAAGGTCCTCGACTGGAAAGGACTAGGCATTAACATCAACGGCGAGTACATCACGCACCTGCGTTTTGCCGATGACGTTGTAGTCATGGCTGAGACCATGGAGGGACTCGGTACAATGCTCGATGACCTCAATAGAGCCTCCGAACGAGTGGGTCTGAGGATGAACATGGACAAGACGAAAGTCATGTCTAATGTTCATGTTTCACCCACTCCCATAACCATCGGAGGCCATACTCTCGAAGTTGTTGACGAGTATGTCTACCTGGGACAAACCATCCAGCTAGGTAGGTCCAACTTCGAGAGGGAGGTCAATCGCCGAATCCGACTCGGATGGGCAGCGTTCGGGAAGCTGCGGGGTATCCTGTCGTCCCAAGACCTCCCGCAGTGTCTCAAAACGAAAGTTTTTGAGCAGTGTGTGTTGCCAGTGTTGTCCTATGGAACTGAGACGTGGCCCCTCACTGCGGGCAACATTAGGCGGCTCAAAGTCACGCAGAGGGCAATGGAGAGGGCAATGCTCGGAGTTTCTCTGCGAGATCGCGTCAGAAATGATGTGATCCGCAGCAGAACCAAGGTAACCGACATTGCCCGAAGAATTGCAAACCTCAAGTGGCGATGGGCTGGCCATATCGCCCGCAGAACAGACGGCCGATGGGGCCGCAAAGTCCTGGAATGGCGGCCACGGACAGGTCGACGCAGCGTGGGTAGGCCTCCCGCAAGATGGACCGATGATCTGGTCAAAGTTGCGGGAGTATCCTGGATGCGGGAGGCACAGGACCGATCATCGTGGCGATCTTTGGGGGAGGCCTATGCCCAGCAGTGGGCGTCATATGGCTGAATGGATGGATGGATGGATGGAGACTGAATTGGTATTAGATTATCAATATCGGAAATAGAAAAGTCAAAATTTTATGAAGTTGATACAGTTAATTAATCTTTCGAAACGTCACATGCTTAGTTTTAAAAGCAATCATTCTCTGAAGATTGCCGTTCAAAAGGCTAAATAAAAACAGCAAAAGAGTACAAAACTGTGCATACCAATAGCCTGCAATTAATAGCAATTTAAAGGGGTTTAACTGTTTTTAAACTTACTCAAAGTTCACTCAACCTAAATAAGTCGAGTTAAATATCAATTTAGTTTATAAATTCTAGTTTTACACAACTTACCACTATAGCTGTCGTCCTTTATATCATCGATC